TGCGTATTTGCTCCGGTATACACTTTGATCATTCAGGTGCGCACAATCGGATCAAGGCTGTTGTGGCCATAATGCTATTGTTGTGCCCAGAGAGGAGCCTGCATGATTATTCTTCACAGCAACAAACATATCGGGCCCATCCAGAATGTGAGGACGAGACAGGAGAAGCCCTTTCAACAGGGAGCTTTACTCTCTTTATTTAGCCCCATGCTAACACTGCAATATAGAGACACACACAGGCTAAAGGACACTCTGGGGATTTGCCTCAGTGTGTATCGTTCTGGTTCTCTAATACTGGAGGTCTAGACCAGAAGTCGATAATACGTTTGTCCACTGCCTCAGTGCTGTTGTTGCTTAAATCTTTTAAGAGGGTGCTATCAAAAGGTCGCTCCCAATCTCTTGAAAATAATGTGGCGTTTCTTTGAGAGAAATACAATATGGGCTTCACATGTACAGTGGATATAAAAAGTCTCCCCATCCCTGCTCAAATGCCAGGTTTTTGAGATATTAAAAGCATGAGATCGCAATATCATTTAAAAAACGTTTTCCTGCTGTTTCTATATGTTAAAATAAAAGAAATGAATTTTTTGCGGATATTAAAAGCATGAGATCGCAATATCATTTAAAATCCTTTTTCTGCTGTTTCTATATGTTCAAATAAAAGAAATGATTTTTTTTCAAAACGGGAAATGAAAACAACAGAAAGAATGTGGTTGTACAAGTGTGCATGACCTCTGGTAACTGGGATGTGACATCTTTCAATGCATTCATTTTTCTCTCTCGGGCTGCGGCACACGAGACAATGTCAGTCAAGCAACCAACTGGTTGCGACAGAAAGATGACATTGTCAACAATACAGACAAAAAGATGGGACTCGCATTCAATTGATTGGACCCATTCACTTGAAAGGACCCGGCGACCTGCGCACTGCTCTTTGTCTCCAAAAATGTGAGCTGTCAATAAATCTTATGATACTTCAGTACAGTGACTGCATCACTTTTCTTTTGTTTGTGATGCCGCCATAGCAGTGAAGCTCTAATCTCATCGTACAATAATGACCAATAACAGCTGAGCCAAATGTATACTACAGATTCACCAGCAAGTGTATATATTGGCAATTGAGTCTGGTCTATAACTATTACTTCCATTGGTAAAATTGTTTAAAACTATGAATACACAAAATAGATCAGACTACGTTGAGCCTTTAAGGTCCACAATTTGTATCTTATTCGCTCGTTCTGTTTTCAGTTGGCAATGAGAAAATGAAAAAGTGACATATTTTTCTGATGTTTATTTTTAAATACGATAAAAAAAAATCTTTATTTATTTAAGTGTGTGTGTGTGCGTGCGTGCGTGCGTGCGTGTGTGTGAAAACAAAGAACAAAATAAGAAGTCACATTTTTCATTTCAGTTTTTGATTGGCAACGTTAAAGTAGTGTGAAGACATGATGTACCAACTGAGCATTGAATTTGAACATACCTCTTTGGCTTTGTTACGAGTCCTCATGTTCTCTGCGATGTACTTCACGCTCTCAATGGCCTGCTTGACCTCGGGCGAAATGACAGAGAATGCCACGACAGCATTCACTTGAGAGGGGGAGTTCAAGGCCCTTGGCAATTTGGGCAGCTCTGACTCTGTGGGTCTCTGTGTCTGAGGGCCCTGAGATGAATGGGGGACCTTGGAAGGAGGGACAGGGGTTGGGACCTCCTTGCCTCTGTAGGGACATCTTCTGTTTAGATCCCGCTTATTGTCGCGGTTCATATCGCCGTACTCGATGCAGTTCATGGAGCCGCCCACTGAGGAGGCCCCTCCTCCACCTGCCCCTCCATCCAGCGGTGGACACGCCACGCCGCCTGTGATACCGCCAACGCTCACACTTCCTGACCCGCTCCCAACGCTGTTCTTTCTCTTCTTGTTCCCGCCGCTGCTCCCTCCTCCTCCCGTCCCCGCCGTGATGCTGGCGATAGACGAGCCGCCTTGGTCAATCGGTCGCCTCATCAGCATGACTCTCGGCAGCACCCCGAGGAACACGGACCTCACCCACTCGGGCATCGTGTGAGTCATGGGGGTGCGGTAGTGAACATTCAACACGAACACGGTGATGACAATGCTGAGCGTGACGAAAATCATGGTGAAGAGGAGGTACTCCCCAATCAGCGGGATGACAAGCGAGGTGGAGGGGATGGTCTCCGTGATGACCAGCAGGAACACAGTGAGGGAGAGCAGGACAGAGATGCACAGGGTGACCTTCTCGCCGCAGTCGGATGGGAGGTAGAAGACCAGCACGGTGAGGAAGGAGATGAGAAGGCAGGGGATGATGAGGTTGATGGTGTAGAAGAGCGGCAGGCGGCGGATGTAGAAGGAGTACGTGATGTCTGGGTAGATCTCCTCGCAGCAGTTATACTTGATGTCGTGCTTGTAACCGGGCGCATCAATGATCTCCCATTCTCCGCTTTCCCAGAAGTCTTTGAGGTTCACCTAGGAGGTCATTACAAATTTGAATTCAACGGAAGCCAAAAGTTGTTTTTAAGGGCATATAATGTTAAACGAGATAATCGGTTTCACAGAATGGCATTTTGAGACATTCGTACCTTTGAACCAATGAGCACCAGGTCGATCTTGGCCTTGTCATAGGTCCATGAGCCAAATTTCATGGAGCAGTTCTGGTAGTCAAAAGGGAAGTAGGTGATGTCCATGGGGCAGGAGGATTTAAAGATCGCCGGAGGAACCCAAGTGATGGTACCATCGAACTTCAACAGAGCCTTGGTCTTGTCCTCCACCAGAAAATCCCCCACGGCACTTCAAGAAAGCAGACCCAAGAAACCCAAATGTCATTTCACGTAAAGGTCTTGACAACATTTAACTGGAAAGGTCAGCACACGGTGAGCTAAATACGAAAATGAGGCCTGCTTATTAAAGTGCCGTGGTGAGGTAAATCTCTTCAGCAGACAGTATAAACATGCAATAACAGAGTATTATGTCATCTAATCAGGGTTTAATCTGTTCTGTGTCAAAAATTGAAAATGAAACACACGACACTCATGAGTATGAGACAGCCTTGAAAATGTGTGTTCCCTACCATTTCAGTACAACGCCATTGACATCAAAATTTATAAGTGGCTGCATCAACAACGTAAATACATGCAGTGGACCTTTAGTAATCTATTCCCTATTCCGGTATGTAGTCTGACACATTGTCATAACAAAGGTGATAAAAACATTGACAAAGTGATGACTCAAACTCACTTGTTGTATAAAACAATGTCTGGCCTCCATATCTTATTGGATGGAACTCTGATAAACTCAATTCCATCATATTCAACCGGTGCCCATCTTAGCTTGTAGTCATTCCAAACCTAGACAGCAGAAGAAAAAAAATAATAATAGCCCAAATAATTTTTTTGTCACAGCATTACTCGTCAATAATCAGGAAGAATATTAGGGGTGACCCATGAGTGCGACTCACATGTCTCAGCCAGAGATTGGTTTCCATGATTTGATTCACCTCATCCTGAAACGAAAATAAGTGTTACATAGCCTTTGAAAACACATTTTGGCTTTTTCTTCTCAGAATGATGTTTTAGGTTCTCTTTACCACTTTGACCAGTTGAGAGATGGACACCTCGAACTCCACCGTGACCGGATCAGACACGTTCTCCACTGGTCGGATGAACTGGTTGTACCTTCGGAATAACCTCCGAAATAAACGGTCCTCTGCTTTGGATGCAAAACAGCCTAATGAAAGAAATTCAAAGACTAACAGTTTGAACAGCATTTATTAAATGGGAATACAGTATGTGGTCTGTTGAACATTCATTAAATCCAATCATGTCAATGTTGATTTCCACTAGGCGCTACATTCTGGCTCCGTAAATGTGCTTCCCCTTTCGAAAAAGATCGAAGCAGATGATGATCTTTGTTAAAAATAACAAAAGGAAATTATGGATAGCACATAAAAATTAAAGCATGTGTACGTGAAACAGAAATAGAGCTTAATAAATTACTGCTTTCACTTCGGGATTTGCAAGAGTCAATGAAAAATGACGATGGTGTCAACAGATGCCACACCGATGAGGGATTGCAAAGAGAGTGTCCTTGAAGCCAACCCCTGCAGAATCTGCATGACTTCATGCCATCAGGAATTGTCAAATACAGTTTGTTAATATTTGCTATGCACCCGAAATATACAGCAAACTACTGTTAGACTCTTTTAGGCCTAGTGTACATATATGCATGAACATTGTAAGGCTGGGCTGAAGGTCACATTGTGGAAAAGTGCCAGGAGTAACACTGCTGCGTGGGATGGCATACAGACCCCCTCACGCCTGTCCGAGCAGAAAATGTTGCCTCGCTTGGGACAGTGAACACTCACACCACCAGCACACTGCACCAGTGTTCTAACAAAGCTCCAAAGTCTCCATTTTGATACAAACATGAGTCATCAACATTAGAGTTATCAGCATCCATATCCAAACCCATTAGCTCCAGCATGATTCATGATGGAAAATATGGATGATTTGTGAGGTCAGCAATCACTTCTTCTGCACCAAACTCAACCAAGCATGCCTTCCTTGACCTTGCATTGTGCAGTGAGACTCAGTCAGGTCGCAACAGAAAAAGACTATGCCTCAGTTCGGTGTCACCAATACGAGATAGTCAATCAAAGCAAGCATACTGTGAGCAAATAACAAATGATCAAGCCACATTACTTCAAGGTTGATGCTTCTATCAAGGCTTTTAAGATGAGAAATGATGCACACACAATTCAGCTCCATCCCTAGTGCAGCAACCTGTACTTCCTGTGCTGCACTAACAGTGGAAAAAAAAAATGAACCACTATATATATATATATATATATATATATATATATATATATATATGGAGGTCAATGTGCTTCACTGATCGGGCAGCTGGAGCACAACCCCATGTACGTACGCGCAAAAAGCTACATTCACCATAGAATGAATAAAACATGTCGCTTTCATAGAGTATCTTCCAAAGCACTTTGGGAGGTCCTCGTGAGAGGAGACTTTGAGTCTCTCCTCTTTCATCTATAACCGCTTCTACAAGGCGTGCGGAGGAACAATTGTTCCAATTGTATTATTGTCGATGTTATGTGTTCTGTTGAACTGTTATTTTGTGTTAAATGTTCTGGAAAGCGCTTTCTGACAGCTGCAGCTGTTGTGAAATGAAGACGGATTGTATTATATTATTTTCAAACCCCATTTATCGTATTCTTATCTGATCATCTTTAGTCCTTTTGTAGATTTGCAGTGCGGAAAAGTGCTGCATAGATTGCATGTGTTCAGCAACATAGTTGTTATAGATAGCTATTAATAAACACCACATAAAGCTGAGTCTACTGAGGCCTATATGCTGTCTAAAGTTTAGACAACTTCTTTATGACTTTAGCCTCTAAAAGTCATAAAGAAGTTGTACCTTTAATGTCCTGGGGACTACGCATGATGACAGAATGTAAACATCCGACATTAAAGGCTGCGTTGTTGTGTGCGCATCTGGCTCTTGGCTTGTGTTTCTCCTCTATTCTGACCTGTCCAGGGAAATAACGGAGCTGATTTATTGGAAAGGTTACCTTATTGACACCTCAATCTGAAGTGTACCACAAAAGATCAAAGTGTGAGACAGGGGCAAAGCTGAGACAATTGGCATTACAATTTAACGCTGTGCAGGAATGTAAACCTGCTTTGTTATGGACATGTGGTCAGGGGCGACAGAGCCTTCCCAGCATCACAAAGCATAAATAAAAGATGAACAATTCATGATTACATGAAATGAGTTTAATTTCAATTTTCTGCTCTGTGCTTTGTCATGATTTGTTTTTGGGTGGGGGGGGGGGGCATCCCAAAATGTCCATGATTTCATAGTTGTAACTGCTGAATTGAATTTCCAGTCCAAATATAAACAGTACATGGGAGAGAGATGAAGTGTGGCAGCAGGCAACATCACCTTACCTGGAATTGCGCAATCTCTCAACAACTGAACCGAGGAGGCTTGTTTTGGCAAGGGCTTGTTTCTGTCTCTCTTTCAATCTCCAATATTTGCTGATCGCATAAAATAGCAGATCTTTTTTTTAAAAAAAGGCATGAGATAAGGCAGACAGTACTTTGCCACACAAAGCCAGACTAAGCATTAGGCAAAGGCAAGGAATTGCCTGGGGCCCCGAGATTTCCAGCAGGCCCCCAAACATCTCATTTGAAAAAACGATGACCGGTCATTATGATTTCTTCCATTGAAAGCAATTATTAATGTTATATTCTCAATTTATATGCTTAAACGCATCAGAATGCTGAATATATCATGTTTGTTTTGACTGCTCCAGTCCTCCCTTCTCATGCAATGAAAATAACAGTTTCCCAGTATCTATTGCAAGGCTGCTAATTTAATTCCAAAGATGCCCCTTTGTTTGGCTGATACATTTCTAAATTCGACTCACTGCCTCACCAGCCATGAACGTCACCACACTTCACTGCCCTTTAGCATATGCTAATTGGAATGGGACACAAATGAAACAGTGTTTCACCCGAAAGAATATAATGTATAATGTAAGGTATACTGAATTTACGGTTATGGAGGTTTGACACTTTTTTCTATTTTTGCATCCGGGAAAAGTTGGCACATGGTAAAATGGCTTTCCAAAAGTTTCCTGGGGTCAACGCGGAGGCGAGCTGAGTCTTCTGGAGTAATGAAACAGTCGCCCTCCTGAGACACTTTCACAATCTCAATTCCTGGTACCTGCTTACAGTCCGTGCACTCCCACAACCTTGCCTAAGCCTCTAATTGGGTGAGGAGAGAGCAGAGCAATTATCATCAGTCAATTAATTCGACCTTGTGTTCACTGTTGAAAAATGCGTTTGGGCTGTTTCTTTTTTCTTACACTGGAACTTTGATTCTCATTATTCCCTCATCCACAAAGAACATAAGTAGCAATTAAAAAAAACAAAAACGATTATAACCTTTAGCCACTGTTGAGCCTGTGTCCAACTTTTACCACATGCAACACAGTGGTATATTGTTTCAGGCTTTTAAAAGGAAAGGTTTGGTTTGTGCAACTCCAAAAGTGTGTTCATGGAGGCACGTGTGACAGCAACACGGTCGGTGGTAAAACATTCATGACTTTAGATGTTCTGTCAAGATTTCATAACAGCTCACTGTGACTGAGCGCCAGTCCAGGTTGTACCCGACCTATCTTGCCCAAAGTCAGCAGAGATATGCTCCAACTAATCCATGACCCTCATGTGGGCAAGTGCTACAGAAAACATATGCATGAATGAAACCGGTTCGTGGAAAATTGTGCATTTACTAATCCACACTTACGTGTAAATGGTTTCTTTTCACCTCATGAAACTTGCTCATATTTCTCAAGATTGACTTGACTGAATAACCACAGACATTTTTGCTCCTCAAAATGAGCCTGAGAGTAACAGACGTGACCGCGATGACAACGTGACAAAGTCTTTGTTCTCTGGCGACTGAAAACCAGTTGAGCAGTCACGCGTGTTCGGCCTCAAATAGCCACAGTGATTGAGAATTAGCCAGTGTGCCTCCATATCTCATGGCTCCAGGAGCCCAAAGAGCCAAAGCCTGTGGGAGGCTCTTTGATCAGGCATGTGCTTAACAGGATGAGGCTTGGAGCAAGTGCTGGACACTCTGAAGAAACTAATTACCCGCCAATAATACACGGTTGACAGTGCGTGTGTGTGTGTTTTTGTGTGTCGGTGTGTGCCACACACGTTCTCTCACCTCTACCTCAAACAACATCGATTTTTGTTTCAGTGATGCATGAAATTCAGTGGCCTCTTGCTTTGCGCGCTTTCATCTCTGAGGATGTGGGAGTTGATGTCTGATTCACTGCGAACGTTAATTTAACACACACAGACGAGATGTCTCAAAGCTAAAATATGTTTGGAAAGAAAATGTAGGGTGTTGTTTGTTTGAACTCTGTCAAGCCTGAACCATCAAATACTGTAATTGACAGAAAAATCATAACCAGAAAAATTACCCTTTATTTGTGTTTCTGAAGGAAACAAAATCAGCAGGTCACTTTCTGTACACAGAAAGTTTTTGTATCATATGTACAAATATATTTATGAATTTTAAGCAAAGTGTGCGTTTTGTTTGTTCCCTCCACTTTACCTCCCTAAATTCCATATATCAACTTGGCAAAACAAGGCACGTAAGTGAGGTGAAGTCAAACAATAAGCAAGGTCGGATCAGGCAAGAGACTAACACTTGACACAGAAAAAGACAGATGTACATTTTTTTTGAGTGTTTCATCTCCAGTGAACACAGAGAGATGTGTTGGATGAGGGGGGCAGACAGAGAGCCAAGAAGCCCTGCAGGTAAAATGTGAAGTGGGAGCACAGCACGAGGGAGAGGGGAAGGGCATTTGGGTCAGAAACACAACACAGAACCATCTTATGATGGACAAAGCCAAACATGACTAAGCGAAGGTCAAAACATTACAAGGTCATCAAACCTGTCATATTCATTGCACACTGTTGCCATGAGAAATAGAAAACTAGGAACATTTTGGAAAAGGGGTGGTGCTTTTGTTGACATCAGCAATTAGCAATCATCACATTATCATGACCTTTTGGGCCTTTTACATTTGTATGAGATACTGCAGGCTATCATTTTGTAATTACTGTTCTATTGTAGTTATTGGAACCCCACAAGGATAGATTTAAGATTGTACATTGGGACCGCTAAGGTCA